ATGTGTAGGATGTGAGAGACTTGTTAGCTGTCGGCCCCTCTGGGTGACAGGCGTGAGTGTTTATGAACATATTTTTATGTATACATATATGTTAGCAAAGTGGCGCGTAGTCTCTCACGCGTGCGTTTCACCGTTGGCAAGTCTAAGGCAAGATTCAATATTAAATTGTCTGGGCGTCTTTATAAAACGCCATTCTCGTCTTTGATGTCATTATATAATACATTAAATGTTATGATACAAAATATTACAAAAATAGCAAGTACATATTTAAGCTATAAACGTGAGCATATAGCCTTTTATTATTCTCAAGGACCCTATTAAACGCGTACCCGCCTTTTACGTTGAGGAAGAAGGCAAGAGTTATTGTGGCATACAACGTAGCGGATAGAATATCTGCAAATAATAGTTTTTCCGATTCTTTGCAAGCAATCGCATACAATCATATAAACATCTTGTAAAAATATAATACTGTAATTGTGTCGGTGAACTGCTATTTATTAGGTGAAAATGTTCCATGATAATATAATTAAATTTAGTAACATATGCAAGATTTCCCAATACCTACTACAGAGGACAAACAGGTTCGAGTGCATAGGTCCCTCGCACAGCTAAGAGTCTATGCAATTCGAGCTCCGCATTAGTGAATGTCGACCCATTTCCCGTCGACAAATTCTCATTCGTTAATAAGCAGAATGTACTGTGTGCAGGAAAACTTTGTATTTTTAAATTGATATTATATCATTTTTTATCCCACTTACACTTCTTTTTTTTATGTTTATAAATTGCATACTGTGTTTATGAAGGCTGTTAAAGATTATTAAACGAAAAACTAATCCTCAACCTCAATGCTTCGAATATTTAAACAAGAAGCTCGTATTTGCATTTGATTATTTTCCTTATACATAAAAAGCAATCTGAGGTATATTCTTAAAGAAAAATATTTTTATAACATATTTCTTTGTATGAAAGAGAAAACAAAGAACCAATTGTCTACCAAATCATTTTCTAAAAATCAAAAACAAATTGTATACCTTTGCGAAAATATAGTGGTATTTCGATGTCGGAAATTCAGTGAAAAACACAAATCATACACCGAAGTCTTTAGAAAACAAGCATAAAAATTTCTCTCATTTGCATGCAAAGAGTCTCCAGCTACCTCATACTTTCGTGGAAAGCAATTTACTTTGACGTTTTTGACGAAAGAGTAAAACGATTGTGCGATGGTTGAACAACAATCAGAATCTGCATAAATAAATCTATTGCACAGGCATAAAAATAATTAGGTAATTAATCAATTTCCAAAGATAAACAGAGGTCAATTTTCTATATCTTATCTCTATCATATCATTCGTAACTAAAAGTCCACAACTGAACATAAGCACCCTCCATAAATTGCCTTATAGATAGGATACCTGCGGTAGTTGCCGGGCAAGGCAAGGGGGTTGGCAACCACAGTATTTTTTTTGCTGTTATCACAAATACGCTGCTGCTCATTTCATGTTTCAGTTTTCCTCTGTCGTCTATTACAGCAACCACGGGATGTCAAGGGGTAGTGGATTGACTTACGCCGCCACTACACGCCAAATTGTAACGTTTTCTGTGTTTTTCTTTAATTGGAACTAGTTTTCTATAATTTAATATATCAAAATTAATGTTTGTTTGTTCGTATTTTATGCGCTGCAATACTGTTCATCAGATAGCGGTTAAACTTTGTCAACTTATTGCTTGCACTTGCGCGAAGTTTATAGGCAAGTACAATTTACTTACAGTAGGTGGCGCGCGTCTCGTACCGACAAGTTTATTTGAAAGTTATATATCATTTAACTTCAATATATTATGAAAAAAAGAGTGACAAAGCAAATTTATGTTGCGGAAGTGAACGGCAGGGTCGGGAAGGGACGCCCTAGACGAAGGTTTATCGACCAAATCGGCGATACATTAAAAATGGGCCAGATTAGGAGTACCCTTAACCGACGAGCGTGTATGCGTAGATATATGGATGTAAAAGAGGCGAGAGAGGTGTGTCAGGATCGCGCCAAATGGAAGTCCGTAGTCTCTGCCTACCCCTCTGGGTGACAGGCGTGAGTGTTTATGTATATATATGTATATTATGATATATTAATGTATTACCAATCATTCCTAATTAAACAATATAACTCTTTCAAATTTAAAACGACATTTCCACAATTATTTCTTCAGCGGCAGCAACGCGCCGTGTACCAGCTAGTTAATAATATTTAGTATTACAAGTAACGTTGATAAACGAGCACACAGTCCACCTAGTGATAATTGGATGCTGTGGCCTATAAACATCTACAAAATTCAGAAGAGTGACCCCTTAGGACCAACATGAAATACCTCTTTTAAATAAAACTAGTGTTACGGATTTTATCGTAGTAGTTAAAAACAATATGCGAAAGGAAGATTTGGAATCGATACATTAAGAAATTTCGTCTATGTTAAGTCGAAGTTCAACGTCGAAACCGAATCTACCCAAAGACGAATTTAGAGCGTTGAATAACCTACGCAATAAACCAGAACTTACGATTCTCCGCGCAGATAAGGGAAATGCCACGGTAATCATGGATACGTCAGATTATAATTCTAAAATACAAGAACTTTGTCGGATGCAAGCACTTATAAAAAGGTTAAAAACGACCCATAAAAAAGACGAATCATAAAAAAAGTTTTTACAAAATATTACGAGTACTACGTGCTCTGCGGTGAAGGATAAAGATGGTGAGGAAACAGACACCATCTTTTTTCCCACACTTCGACCTCTCTTCACTTTAGTTGGCAACTCCTCGGAGGGAAACACCCAGATAGCAGACTGCCTCTTCGTTTCAGGATAATAACAATAAATCCACCTTTTATCACCCGTACGTATGTCGAACACAGCATTTGAGTAACCTCCGTTAAATCTTTGAATCATTTCACGACACCAATCAACACGACGGAGTTTTTGGGCCACTGTTCAAATTATGAGGTGTCCATCGGGCACAAAGCTTCCTGACCGCTAAATGTTCATGGAGGATTTTGTGAAATTCACTCATACCGATGCCTAAACTTGTCCGAATCTGCTGATAAGTCATTCTTTTGTCTATCTAGTCTCACAACACTGATGTTATCTTCAGTCGTCGCCGTAGAAGGTCGTCCTTCACGCAGATCATCGGTGAGAATAGTGCGACCACGTTTAAACTCATTAAACCAGTTGTAAACAGTGGCACGGGATGGGACTTCATCGTGAAAGGCCAATCGAAGTCACAAAGACTATTTTGAATTTGACACAGACAATTTTGAATTTTGCAATTTCAAATATAAAGCTTTATTTATCTTAAAAAATATAAAAATTATAACGTCGTTGAGTATAAAAATCACTTTCCAATTTATATATTTAGGTCGTGTAAACGTAAACTTGTATTTTAGAAGGATTTAATTCATGTACCATTTCCATAACATCGTTATGATACGTGAAGAAATAATTTTAAATAACAATCGTTTTAAATAAGTATAGTGGTGGTGTAAGATTGACCACTATCATTCCGTGGGTATCGTAAGAGGCGACAGAGGGAAACAAATGAAATGGGCAGCGTCTTCCTAATAACGACTAAAAATAAAAACTGCGATTGCCAAACCGCTTGCCAAGTATGTCATCTATGCCAAATATCACCCCTATCATGCAATATATGGGGGAGGCCTATATGCAGCAGTGGACTTTAATAGGCTGTAACGGTAACGTTAATATGACATTCTTTTAAATTATAGAATTTTTTTTATTGCTATCAATATAGATTTAATTGGCGTAAAAAGTAAACTGGGTCAATTATCACCAATGATTACGCTCATAATCCTGGATGGTTTGCGTTAGTAGGTACTTACTGGATGCATGAGCGCCTCTCTTACGCCTGCTTATTACCGACTTCATGATTTATTAAAACCATCCTCGGCCTGAATTGTAATAGCGGATTGCTGCAAAATTGTTTTTTCCTAATTTTGTTAAATCTGGCCGGATCTGCTCATGATTTTACAAAGATATGATGTGTTTAAAATATGGGTAATGGGGCATAGATTTAAATAATATTTAATATATATAAAAATACAGTATCAAAGATTCGTTTTTATATTATTTCTTCGATTATATTAGTGCTTTTCAATATTTTTTTTATTGATTAAACTATGCACTGCATTTATTGTTACTTTTGTCTACTATAATTAACCAGATCGTGTTTTATGGTTGCGCCAGGTGTTTCCTTTATTGAGGTGTCGACTATAGAACGGAGGGTTCTACACTTACTATATCGATGTTTTTTGTTTCTAAAATACCTCATCTGATTAGTGAGTTCTCAAATCTACTTTCTTCTTAAAGGTTTATCGATCATTTTTAAAAATAATGTTATTCCGATTAGATGAGTATGGTATTAAATAGGTACAAAGTATGTGCAAATAAATACTTTAGATACAAAATATGTGCAAATAAATACTTTAGATACAAAAAAAATACACATGTATTGAGTCCTTTTGGCAATGCTGATAAAAATTTAAAAGTTCCAGATCAAACAACTTTTCACAAAGTTTACTCGACTTCAAACTCGTACTCGTAAATAAAGAAGTAGGTTCCCGTAAAATCGCATACTGCATGAAATATTTGATTCTACAGTTACTTCAATATACGTCCTACTTACAAATTTTATGTTAAATGAGTGAAGCAAAATATAGAATGGGTATTTGACATGAAATTCAGTCCTTTACTGTAGAGACATATAAAAACTTCCAGTATTTCATTTTCCTACGGTACAAAAATACAAATCAAGATAAGTACAATATTGCGTTACGAACGTTCCAGATCTCTAAATGCATTTTGTAAACAAAAATGTGGCCTAACTAGCTACAAATAAAAATCTTGTTACCTGGTTAAAATAAAAATATAAAAACACAGTCAACCCCGGAGTATGCAGTGCGCAGTGGACCATTCCTCTCGCGACCGGTCTGGGGGTAACTTCAGTCGTCGCTCGCTTGTCGAGAGCACTCGACCTTTCAGCGAAGCTACTATCGACACCGTTCATCCAAAGTGACGTTTCCGACCGAGTTAGAGAAAGAAAATAAACATTCGACGAGCATGTGATGTGAAGTTTAATTTTTGTGGTTATGTAAACTATAGTATAATTCGAGTGCTACATAAGTGGAGCAATGATTAAGGAAACTTATCAAGGATTAATCTTAAGTTTTGTTTCAATTTCTTTTTGCTGTCAATTGACTGAAACTATGGCCAAAAGCGCAAGTAGGTACATAGGTAAGCCATTAAAAATTCAGCCTCCTTTTAATTTTTTCGATATTATATTAATTAAGAAAATTTTATATGATGTTAAACTTTTATAAAATTTTACAATTTCACAAATTAATCAAAAGTAAAGCTACCATCGATCCTAAATTAATTATTTAAAATTTATCGTTATTGTTGAAAGTTTTCAAAATTTTTAGTGTTCCATTTACAATTAACATTTATTCAAATTTCTTTTGTATTATCCTGAAAACAGGGTTGAAATCAGTGTAACTAGGCGGAAACTTTAATAATTTATTGCAACAAGTTTGAACACGGAGCCATTGGCGGTGTGAAAATGGCTGCGAATTCTCGTCTATTGCCGCTATTTGCAACACTATTTATCATTTCAAGTTGAGCCCCACCGCGGCAATTCTCATAAAAGTTTAATTAACTGACGCACAGGTATGGTCGCAAAGTTGAAACATAAATAATGTCATCACTAAATTTTGCATAAACCACAAAAGCAATTACAAAGAATTTATTTTAAATTACTTGTATTAAAACTTATATGGTCTTACTAAAAAACGTAATTTATTAGTAATTTCTGGTATAAGTTTCTATGGTTTGAGAAAATTTTATACGAATGACTGATAGCTTAAACCTACCGTCTTGTACGTCAAATATTACTTATAATTAAATGCGTTTTGTGGGAATGTCATATCTGACCAAGATTAGCTATTAGTGTAGCAAATGGAGATGTCACGTATAACTAGTTTCTATTCGGTATTCGGCTTATTCGGCCACTGTGTTTATTAATTAACATTGCGGATTATTAGGCCGAATACCGAATAACAAATCATGAAAAAACAGTCACACGTATTACTCAAAAATGAATATATTTTACCAACAAAACATCACAATTAATACCTAAAGTTTATCAGAGGTAAGTTGTCATGAATGAAAACAATTTTTTCAACATCTGTTAATAGCAAACGATTGCGCTTTTCCTCATAAACTATACCCGCTTCTGAAAATAGCCTCCCACTGTATACACTGCTACCGGGCGATGGCCGATTAATTTTTTGCAAATTCTGTGAGTTTTGTTACTGTTGTACGTGTGCTGACCACCACCAGTAAAGGTCTGCAGTCCGATTTATACAACAATCAATCTCATTTGCAATAGCACTTTTTTTTCCACATCCTCATTTTTCTCCATATTATCTGTAGCGACTTCCTCAAAACATTTGCACAAACTGTTGCTTACCGCCAAGAGCGTGGCTGGATATTCGGTATTCAGCAAAATCACTATTGATGACATCCCTAGTAGTAAATGTAAAGTACCTACATAAGACTCTTGTCCCACAGGTTTCGCATTATGTTATGTATATCACCGCTGAAAAATACGACATAATTACCAACAATATTTCCATTTATATTTAAAACGTTATTATTCTTGCTTGTTGCAAAATTGAAACTGGTATGGTATTCTTAACTAAATCCAAGCATATAAACAATAATCCCACTCATTTATATACATTTAAAGTAGTTATAAGGAGGGTAATAAAGAATTTACTAAGTGTTGCCTCAAATGCCAACCTCACCTGCCCATAATGCACCTATTATTGATAGCGGAAATGAATCCAAAAACGACATATTCAAATTTCAAGAACGGTGGTGATGCAAAACAGTATTATTAGTGTGAGATTTGATAGGCTCTCCAATGCACTAACGCTCAACAAACCGCCTGCCCAGCTGTTTATCGTGTTGACAAATCTTCCAAGTAATGCTTGTGCCAATTTCAAATGATTTGCTGTCATTAATTTTTGTCAGAAATTAGTACGGCAATCAGCATTGTTCACCACTTCACCGATTACTTTGAGACTTTGATGTTTTAATGGTATCCTAATATATAATTAGCGTACCGGAAAAGTTTGAACTTCATAGCGCAATCTATCCAAGAGTCCGCTGTCAAAGATCATCAATCAGGGTTCATACAAGTTTTTTACTGCGTAACCAACACAAATTTCTTACAAAACGACATTGAACTGCTTCTATTCTATCACTATGACGAATATTATGCGTTATCGTAATATTATTATGTTTAATCAAAATATATACCTACATACTTGGTACTTGTAACTTGGTATTATACATGACATTAGGGTAGTTAATAACATTGCCAATATTCTTTTTTTAAAGTTAAGTAATATAGTAAAACAAGCAAATATTCCGTGCCAACTGACATTATTTTGAAAAGATCTATTCCGAGTTGTGGACTCAAAAGTACTTTTGATCCCGCCGGTGTTTTTTTTTATAGGATAAGAGTGACAAACGAGCACACAGTCCACCTAGTGGTAAATGGTTGCTGTGGCCCATAGACATCTATATCTATCTTCGATTAAGAATCAAAATGCAGATGCGTTGTCACCCATGAGGACTAAGATGGAATGCCTCGTTTCCAGTAAAAAGGGTCTCCGGTTCTCTACACTCACCATACGAATTACAGCAGCGTTAAGCTGCTATTTTACGCTGGTATTCTGTGAGAGCGTGGTCCTTCCCCGGTCGAGCCGACCCATTCGTGCTACAACCATAATATAGCTGCAGCGTGGCTCTACCACGTTTGGACCCAATACAGCGGGTAGACTAGTAGATACTCTAATAAGTAAGTCTGTCAAAACGTCTTAACATTTTAAATTTTGCTTATGGACAAATACTTCGACATCTTCACAAAAGATCTGTATAAAATATCACACACATTTTAGAAATTAATCGCATCATACCATTTTCTCTTTTAGCTTGAGAATTTATGTAAACAACTTCTAAACGCACTTCATTTATTTTTACTGTACTTTATGCATTTGACAATCAATATTTTTGATTATTAAACTTCTTGAATGAGGTGTAGGAACCCCCTAATCAATCACAGAGATTGATGAATGAAAAGGATAGTAATATCGTAAGGCGTTTGCATTTACGGTACGACAGCGCATAATAGAAGATCAGCTTGAAATTTCGATATCAAAATTTGTTTGTCGATTTCAAAATCTAAGAAATTCTCAATTCGGTTGTGTCTCAGTTCCATGATTTTTTTTTATGTTTTGCGATATTATCTTCGTCAATTGTGAACCGATTCTAATGATTCTTTTTTTATTAACTAGGTTATATAATAATATAAAATTTACAGAGTATCAACAAATAAGTTGATTTTTTTTAATGTAATTAAAGTAATAAAAAATAAATGTTGATATCCGAGACGGAACGCCAGGTGGCGTTTACGGTGAGAGATTGTTTGTGTGTGCAAACTAATGTTCCCATTTATCTTCATAACGGATTGACTGCTGTAGATCCTTTTTTCTGTAAAGGGTTAATATTCATCGGCGATGGTTCATAGAAAGTTTTTATGGTGTTAACTCGCAGGGGGCGCTGCAATAAAAATTTTCGCTCATTTTAATATTTTAGGGCATTTTCCCTGAGACGAAAATTTATTTGCAACGATTCTTAGATCATTTTGATTGTGACAAACCACTAGCAGGGTTGATGTGGTTTTTTGTGAAGTATTTAAGATTTTGGACCCTTTTGACAAGGTTAGGTGAGTAGCATCTGTACATGAAAGTCTAATGATGAAGCAGAACAACATCGCGTGGAAGACTGCGAAGGCGCATAGCTAGTAGACCGTGTTTGAGTTATTTTGATAGTGTTTGGTGAGTAGCTTATGTATGTGGACTCCCTCTGACGATAGGACAGAAAAACATCGTCGAAAACTTCGTGGAGGCACGTAGTTAGTAAACAATTACTGAGCTCTTTCTTTAGGAATGTCACACATCATGTTTGGGTTAATAGAGTTATCACTAAGTTTATGCCGTAAACAACTTTGTGGCATTTCTTTGGCTTCCTCAATTTGCGACCCGCACAGCGTGACTCTCGTTCATTTTTAAAGATATTAAATTGCAATAGAAAGGTCACTCGACTAAACTGTGTCGGCCGTAGGGGGGTACAATAAAAAAAAACAAAATAGAGCAACACAGCAATAAAATTTAGAGGTATAATGCTTTGTAAGACATCAAACATACAAAATGGCAAGCAAATAGAATTCTCTAAAAAGTTTAAAATAAGAAAAAATTAAACTTTTTATAAAAACCTATGACGGATGCAAATATTGTATTTAATCAAAAATGTTTAAATAATATTTAAAAAAAAAACGATCTATTTGTCTTTATTATTTTGGCAAAGATAAATACAGCAAACATATCTTATATTAATACTTATAACAAACCCTAGAAATCCGTTGGGCCTGCCATTCCCTGTCCTGAAATGAACTAAAATTTTACAGTTTCATGAGTTTTTGACTAATTGAAATCCCGTTAGCACGTAAATAAATGTAGTGTAGAGACACATAACAGCTTTTCTATACTGCTACATTATAATTGAAATCGGGAACAGTGATCGCAATGGCAGCCACAACGGATTTTCTTGGGTTAATGTTATATTAGTGAGAAGTAAAGATGAAGATGTGTCTGTCTCTACAACAAACAAACAGGTATACAGGGGTAGGAACTTAGAGTATATACACAAGCAAGCTAAGCTTATGTATAATCTATGGGTAGGAAGGGCTAGCGTATATTATTAAGTTAAATACTTATATATAACAGACCTTGCGACAAGTAAACATGTTTTAAACGCTTTTTATTTTTATCTTTCGTTGCTTACTTTCTTCAAGTCAATGATTTTTCAAAAATTTTATTTAATCCTTTTTCGAGTACTACATTTATATCCGTCGTCGGTTTTAAAAAAAAATAATATTGCGTTTTTAATGTTTAGTATTTAATATTTAGACGACATTTGAGCTTGTGATATTCCTTAGTCCTCTCAAAGGGTCAAAAATTGGCGTTATAAAAGATAAAAGCCTCCTTCCTATAACTAAAAAAAATAAAATAATTTGCAGAAAAACTCCTTCTGCTTCTACTTCAACTTCTGAAGTTGGTACTTTTATATATAAATACAAACACTATGTTTTAACACCCACTTCTGAT